GCTAAAGGATTGTGGGTTTTGGCTAAAGGAATGTAGGTCAAGGCTAAAGGATTGTGGGTTTTGGCTAAAGTATTGCGGGTCGAGGCTAAAGTTTGATGGGAAAAGGTGTAGAAATAGGGATCACGAAACCGGGAGACTGACTATACACGTCGCTAAAAGTTTAGGTGTCGCAGATGGATAAGTTTTGTTATTTGGACATCTATATATTGGGCGGTGGTGGCCAAATGGTTAGACCATCGACTTATGACCCGGAAGTCTGGAATTCGAGCTGCTCCACCGCCGCCCGTATTCTCTATTTCTGTATTTTCCCCAGGCAGCCTATGTATGGCCTCGGCTCCCTTCGAGAAAGTTGAAATAAAAAAGGGAGTACAAAGGCATTTCACAATTTACCTGGCGGACGCATTATGGGTGAAGTGTCAGCTCGCATACAGAAGGCTCGATTGGTATTTGCCAACTTGTGACATCTGTGGCGCCGTCGCGATATCCGGCTGTCTGTTAAGAGTCCCGCATATGCTACCGTAGGTCGGCCAATCGTGCTATACGACGTAGAAACTTAGCCATTGAGAAAACAGGATAAAGATAGACTGCCGGTGCTCGAACACCTCTGTCTACGCAGCATTGCACGAATCTGGTGGGGCAGCCGGACGAGCAATGCTGAGGTCAAGTGTAGTTTTAGGTAGTCGTGGTCGACCTCCATAGATTACTTTGGTTGGAACATGTGTTACACATTTCAACAAGTAGGTTGCCACGGCGAGCGATGTTTGCCGAGGGAGGTAGTGGGTGGAGAAAGGCCAAGGGTGGTCAACCTAAGACGCGGCACGAAAGTATGAGAGCCCTGACCCTCGGACTGGGTCACCTAGGTCCCGTTAGGCTCTCTGGATTAGGACCTCGGGGTGATCGTAAACGATGGTTAAAGATACTGTGTGATATGGCTGTGTCGTAAACAGTGGCGTTCTTACATCTCAATTTCCTTGTGACCTTAGACCACTAAAATTCTCCATTTTCTCTTCGACTCTATTTTTTCTGTCAGGCTCCTACTGATCATCCAAATGGGCAACCAAAAGACAGCAAAAAAAACCGATTCACGAAGGTGCACGTTTAATGGTTGTATAAAATGGACTAAACAGAACTGAACCATCTTGTTAGGTTTGACTTCAGCTGACAAAATCTCAAAAGGAGAAACGAGAAAGTCATGCAATATTAGGGACCACCTCAATGAATGTTTTGGAGGAGAATTGAGGAACTGCGACTTGTCAATTACCCCACCTTACTAATTCCACAGGGAGTTGCTTCGATACGTCACGGAGGATATTCTTGATCGTAGAAATTAATTTTTCCAGTTCGCTTCAAGGAGCGCTTGGTCTTCTACTTCTTAGAGTTGACAGATAAACTGAATAATTATTAAAAAATCAGTGGATGTCTTGAAATGTGCAGTTGCTGTGGAATAGACCTTCAACTTTTCATTTGAATAGTTTGACGAGTCGCAAATCTGACAAAAAGCTCCACATTTACTAAGTTGAACGTTTGAAATGATGATTGTCTCTAGTGAAAACCTCAAAAAACGAAATCAAAATTAATAATCCCAAATCGTGATGCTTCGCCTTGATGAATATCCTGGGGTTGTCGGGATAGAGTGTTTAACTGGTCAACTAATTCACCTTCTTGAGGATTTGCCAATAGTTGGTATATTTTGCATCCGACCTAATAAAATACTTCACTAATAACTCACTTCACTGTATTTTTTTGTACTTGTTCACTCTTGTCTCTCTCTCTCTCTCTCCTCGCTGAAGCTCTGAGATCAAGACCAGCTCGTGGTATAATACACCTATGAATTCGGAAAGATTATGGTCCCTTACCGATATTTCTTCTGTGGAATCTCGAGTACAAGCTTTGAAAACGGCAAATCAACGTTTGAGGGAAGAGGTGGCTAGCGCTTGTAAAGCTCTGCAAACGAGCAGTCTGCTTCAGGACCCCATGAAAGAAGGTGTATCACGTTCGTTATCGGAGCTGCCACGAGGCGGAAAGTACCAGTACGCATCTAAATTGAGCGGTACTCAAGTAAGCGCTTTTTGTCCACGTGCAATCAGGCCAACCAGTTTATATATTGTCCTGCGCCTGAAATTTGAACGCCATCCATTTTTAGCACCTTATATATACACACACACGCATGCATATATATATATATATATCACAATAAGTAGCACCTGAATGACTGAACAAAGTTTTCCTGGAAGCACACGACTGGTTTCGCGGTTCTTGCTGTTCGTTGGGCATGTGTACCGGTAACCTTTTGCAAGTTCATTCATATACTTGTACCCAGGAAGTGTATTTTCGTCACAATAACCTTGTTCGCAACATCGGGTGACTCGTGGATAGATAGCCATTTCAGAGCCAGTCCATTGAAGAATCAATGCTATGGTTCAATGTTTTTGTACATGGGTTAGATGCTACTAACCGCAACAAACGTGACTTGATCGTCTTTACAGAAGATTTCATAAATAGAATGTGAATGACTGAACAATATTTCCCTGGAAGCACGTGATCAGTTTCGCGGTTCTCGCCACTCGTCAGGCATGCGTACTCGGTAGTCTTTTATCAGCCCATTCACTACTAATTATGAAATATACTGTAAAGACGATCAAGTTATGTTTGTTGCGGTCAGTAGCATCAAACGCACCTACAACAATATCGAATCCGAGCACTGATTCTCCAATAGACTGGTTCTGAAAGAGCTATCTATACAAAAGTCACCCAGTGTTGCAAAAAAGGTTATTGGGATATACAGTACTGGCCGACTGTGATGCACTAAAATATTTTCTTTATGATCAAATGGAGTTTCACTATACTTATCACCTGTATGAATGATTTAGGTATGGGCAATAATTTATATCTTGTCTACTTCGATCTACGTAGTTTCTACGCTGCATGATTGCCAATTAAACGTGCCTGACCTTGAGTGCCACGATTAAATGATCTCAACATGAAAATCCCAAACTTTATCAAGTATAACAACGCAATATTTCCTAATAGGAATGATTCAAGAAGTATCCTAAATTATTTTCATAAACCCTTGCCATCTCGGGTGTTTGTTATGAGGCACTATTTTATCTAATATACAATCCATTATAGCAACTCTATTGGATAATCAAATGAAATTCTTTCACAGCCCAGAGAAATCGCATTAAATAAAGTTTAATAATAATAATCTATGTGCTACCTATTATACATTGGACATTGGAGGCAAAAGTGCGATACGTAATGGAGCACAAAATAGAAAATGACTTCATGACAAAGTTGGTGGATTCGATGCCGAAGAGACTCGAAAAAGTCCTAAAGAACAAAGGCAGACCAATCGACTATTAGAGTACACAAACTTTACATCTTGCTTATTGTCAATGTTAATTTGTTGTTAATAAAAACTGTTCCAATCTTTTTAGTTACCTCTTAACTCATCATGGTCTAGATCAACCACTACTGACGAAATGGGAGTATCCGCTAAATTCTGAACCATTCCATCCGCTGAGTATAAACGAATCAGAAAAATCACGTCTCTAAATACTCAACAAGACTTGTTTATGATTATTTGGAAAAAAATTTAATTCAGCATAAATGCTGTTGCCTATACGAACGGACAAGTGTTTTACGGGGACCCGTTGCTTCGGTTTTCATTAGACCTGTATTTATGTCTTTCACCAAGCGCCGAATATGAAAGGTTCTTAAAATATGACTTCCCTTGTGAAATGACTTTTTGGTATAAAGTCTTGTACTTCAAACAAAACTTGCTTTTTAGTTAGAATGAAGCGGTACAGTGCTTGCAATATGAGCAGTCCAAAGTCATTGAGGCAGCTGCTTCATATTGTGAATTAAAAAAGCAATCCTACACAATACATTTTCTCTCACACAGTCTTTGTTGCCTTTCTTGTGCATAGTGTACATTGTCTGACAAGAAACGTGGTTCAAACCTGACTGTGAATAACTTATAAGAACCTTTTCATCGAAAATTGCTTTTTTAGTCCTGCTATATGATTCATTCCAAGAGAAACTATTTGTAGAGACCACTTTCGCGGCTCATATCGACGATCATCTGGAGACCTTCCACAGTAAAATCTTCCCCGCTAAGGATGACTACTCGCATCAAAACCTCCTGTTTGCATCCTCAATAGCTTGTAGAGAATTCTACGCTCCCCCCCCCTCTTCTGTCAAGTTTTCTTTGCTGAAATTTCCCATTTTCACCGAGTGCAATAATGAAACAAGTTGTTAGTTATTCGGCTGCATTCTATCAAGTGTATCTGTGAAATGAACTGATGAAAATACGCGAATGGCGTAGATCATCGTGAATAACTCTCGTTTCATTGGATGCAAACTGGCTACAGGAGTATCCTTAGCCAGAGTCGACAATTATTTGGCGTGTGTATGTCTGCGATCATACATTTAAGTATATAAGAATGCATATGAAATACGAGATAACAAAAAACGTTTTCTTCCAACACAGACTGAAAAGACACGATACCCAGTGAAATTGTTCCGCATCATTTATCTCACTATCCTCATCGTTATCAAAATAATTCTGGTTCTTATTCCCATACACGACTGAGGCTATTGCAATCCAAACACTGGATCCACCCTTTACTAGCAGAAATACCTCGAACCCAGTTTAGCCTTGCAATGAATACCGATAACGTCGCCCCGCATTGTATCCCGAGTAACGGTTACAACAACAACCCAACTGAGATGCCGATCATATATCAGCACATACAGCGCACCCGATACAGATAAATCGAAACTGGATCTAACGCAACAAATAAATTAGTTTAATATATTCTTGGTTTATTCCGTGTCAAGTTAGGTCACAGGATGTGTGCGTACGGATTTAAATGTGTGGTTCTCACCCCTCGAAAAATCAATAATTTTATACTGGCTAGATACACTTCTGTTAGTTTCGAAGTACCGCCTAAGCTGACAAGGATCATCAGATAGTCATTTTGTCCTTGGTAATACCCATCAACATTGGGCACTACTTTCGTGCCCGTTGTCAGGACTGGGGCCGCGGATCATAAGGTTGTCAGTTCAAGCCATTAAATAGTCGACGACCGACAAATCAAAAACATAGCATGATCTCGGTTTAGCCCACACAAATTCGCCGACCTTAAGGTCAATGTGCTGATCTTATTCTACAAATATAATTTTTAGTTTATTAGTTTGTACTAATAAAAACCGGGAATGATTTAATTTACAATCAATTGCTCAGTTTAGATGTCGATATTGCCATATAAATCTCTGTAAACGACTTTGTTCATTCTCCACATCTACAAAGCATGCCCTAGAGAATGATGCAGGATGACTGGTTTCGCAAACAGTCATTTTTTACGTAAATAATCGTGCATTGATCATGTGATGACATGAGTCATCGAGTCAAGCAGTACATTCTAAGTGAATTGCTGCAAACAGTTTAGCGCTTGGTTGATCTACCCCGATGTGGACCGGTTGGTTAGCTTGACAACAGAGTGATGGGATCGATGTAATGAGATCGCAACGTGGTGAAGGAAATGTTTTGGTTATTCGACCAGAAGGTTCAGTTACAAAGTTATTGAGTACGGAATATAACCATACATGAAAGTTATAGACAACTCCTGAAATAAACTTCAAGGCCAAATCTTAGGATTTGGGTATAACACTACACCTTTCAGTGCCGTCCCGTTATTCAGCGAATCGTGATTTCCAGGTGTATATGTGACCAGTCTACTCAAAGATAGTCATTCTAATCCATTTTTAAGTTATATTTTCCCGCATCTATTTCAGGAACCGGAAAAGCGTGGAAATGAATCCAAATCATGTAACCTTGGTGGAAGCAGCTCCGCCCAATGCGAAACTGACTGTTTGGGCATCACTGGACCGCTCACTCGTGGGTCGGGATTGGCTGTTTCGCAGACCAATCGAAAAGTACGTTCTGGGTTCGCGGGACGTCAGACAGATGTGTACACTCCCTCTTACCGCAGGCACAGTGATATGGAGAGATCAAAACCCTTCGGGGGCAGTAGAATTCCATCAAATAAAACAACGCGAATGAAGTGAACTTTGATCATGCAACATTTTCAAGTGTAGCAAACCGTACTGGATACGATGTGAACTACAGTACTCAGAGTTTTGTCGTTTTTTTTTAAATCAGTGCAAACGTATGATAAACGGCTTTAAAAAACTTTTATGCTCATCACCTAACCTGTCTAATCCACATTTACCATTTAACTGATGCACCATACGCAAGTAAATGATTACTATTACTTAACTATACTATTATGGGTCTATGGTTATTCATGCATCCACACATCTACCCTGAAGTAGACCAATGTCTTACAGTAGCATTTGACAAAACTGATTGATTGGACGTCCAATTCTTTAAATCTCAACCACTCATTACTATGGATCAAGAAAGCCAGTCTATCCTTTTTTCTGTGATCAAGTGCAACATTCCAGATTTGTGAAATCAAATACTTTGATTACCAGTTTTACAGAGGTAGAACAATCAAAAATTCGTAGCAATGTGATAGTCTAGTATCGGAGAGATTGGGTAGCGACAGTTGATTGAAGGCCGGTTACCAACGAAACGGATAGCGCATGTAACGACATTGAAAAATAAAGGCACAGTCGAATAACAGATACCTAAGCAGATGACATCACAAGGCGAGGTCAACCATATGTCAAGACTCATGTAAACAGATTCCGGTGCATTCCAATGCGTATGAATCGTAAGAAAACTTCTAGTTGATCTTATGCTCTCTAACAATTTCAGGGTGTCTCGGTCAGTTGTCGATTGATTAGTAAGTAGGGCATGACCTACGAGTGAACCAGGCAGTAATTATTCGAGTTAGTATCATCATCGAAGAGATCACAGGATATATTGAGAACCGCCCAAATAGTTTTCCGAGCTCTTAGATAAATTAGAAATTTCTGGTACAACAAAGAGCGCTGAAAAGATTTCCGACCTCGATGGTACTCTTCAACCATAAATACTTCTGCTGTCCCCGCTGAGGCTTGAACCCTGAACGTCGGGTAAGGAGTTAAAACTCTTACCGCTGAGCCGATCGATCGACAACTGAAGTTGGAAGGCTTGGCGATTTGTATTAATTATTCCGTTTAATTCCATGCGAATTCGCGAACGACAGAGTATCATCTTATCCTTATGTGGGTCTCACTTTCATAGACCAGCTCTCTGTGAAGTTTCGTGAAATTAAACAAAAATAAAACCACTTAAGTGTAACTTTCAATTTCCGTTTCAGAAGGTCGTCATAGATGAACAACAGCTTAGATTTAAGTCATGTGTGACGGGTGGTCAATACTTGACACACAAGCAGAAATTACCGTTTCCTATATCAATGCTCATCGATAGGGCATTTATTACGATTTCCGGATAGTGATTTGTGTATAAAGAGAAAAGGAATGTGATACGTAAGAAATAATAGATAAGTCTGAGGTAAAATGAAAAGCAGCAAACTTAGTGACTAAGGAAGATCACACATCTAGTCGTATGCACAAACCTCTTGCGAAACAGAAAACGAACAGAGCTTCATGGTCGTCTGGATAGAAGTTGTCATTAGATGAGGGCAGATTGGGATCCTTGATCGGTTATGTGGATGACGTAATTCGTGCGTTTGACACAAGGTGAGCCCGGTCCATTCTTCACAGATATGTGTCCCAAAGAGGTGTCAGACGCACGAGTACCATAGGGACTAGTGCTTTAGTAACGGCTGGAATTAAACTCATCTTGTGTTGGTTTGTACATTCTTTGCATGAACCCGTTCTGAAAATAGAAACCATCGATGATTCCCCTCAGGTTTCTGTGGATAGGCTGCCCAGAGTAGGTGTTTTGCAGCACAACACTACCAGGGTGTGGTGGGTTTCAGGCTGGTCACCTGGCTCCTGTTTAAAAGCCACATAAGCCCAATGACGGTGTGGTGACAACGGTTGATGTGACTGGTCTTTTAAAACTAAAGTCATTGACCCCCTCACTTCCTGCTGCCTTGCAATTCGCACTGGGTTGTGCAAAAGCTAGAGGTGCGCCCTCAAAATAAAAAACGCTGAGTGCGCTGGGGACGTCTCTCGTACGAAACGCCCAAGTAACTTCATGTCCACGATCATGAAGCCGGCGTATCCCCTCCAAGGAGCCAGCCGTAGTAAAGTGAAGTAAGTACAACAGTTATGCAGTCTATTTGGGAAGTAACCCTGTTACGAATACGCCTCCTGAGAACACAGGCGGCCTAACTGCCGGTCAGCTCAGCAGGCGAAGTCTCCGTCAGTTGTATTGGCTCACTCATAGCAACCAGAGCCCATCAGTAAGGCCTATTCACCAGCCGCTCCAGAATTTGAAATCCGGCCCCCGAGCGTTGAAGATGACATGGAAACTAAAGTGCTTCTGGTCAGCTTAGGAGTGAAATGATTACCACAGTAGCAAAACACTCCTACCATGCGAAAGGTTGAAGTTGATATCTCCGATGACCCATTGGAAAAGTATCACTGAAAAACGCTAACAAGAGGGGAATTAGGTTAATAATTACTGATCAAACCAATATACAGCCAGAAACGATCATTGTATCTTAGTAAAAAGTGAAATACCACTTATACAGTATCAAGATCTAACAGAAGTACATACAAAGGCTCCTGACAATCTTGCAACAGGCCTTCACAATTTGAAGGTACCAAGCACGTGTCACCGAGGGAAACATCATCTTCTAATCTGTTCGGTGCATTTCGCATCGTGTGCATTTTTATCGAACAAGACAATATCGTCGGTAGTCCAAGTCTAAAACTGCATGTGTATGAACTTCAAATACTTTTGAATCCAGACTGTGTGCAAACAAATCTCAGTACAATGATCTTTATAAAAAAAACGTTCCATGATTTGTTTGTGGGCGAGACACTGCCAAGTTGCCCAGACCAAAGCAGGCAAATTTTCTTTGGGAATTCACAACCCGAGCCTTCGACTAGCGAAGGCCTCTTCCACAAAGCAGCGGGGTGGTGGATGAAAAAACGCAATCCATTTGGGGTCGGTGTCCAGTTCATCGGGTCATACGCCCTTCGGATGGAGTCAAACACCCAAGGTGCCCAATCGAGCCGGTGACCACTATTATAACCGGAAGGATGCGTGGTTGGTGTTTTCAATCAGGATTTTTGGCTAGCTCCCCTAGGTGAACTACCAGTTTCATTTTCAGTTTTTACAACCATTAAACATGCACTTTCATGCGCCGGTTATGGTTTTCTGGGGTCTCCAGCCAGGGAGCCTTTGTGAACTACCGGTGGTCCACAAACCCGGTTATAGCCCCGGATATCTGCTTTTCGTCCGCTCACCTTGGTGGGAGAACACCTCCGCCACGAGAAGTCAGCGGGTAAGGCTTCCACGNCGGCACAGGCTGTTTGAGACGCTTGGTCGTACGGGAGCATTTCGAAGTGTAAGGGAAGGGCGACCAGCCTCAATCCAAGATACACACCCCTGACCGTACTGAAGCTTTGAAGGCAGGCAAGTCTAGAACTCTCTGATGGAAAAAACTCTTGATAATGCGATAATTTAGGCCTCGCTTTTTGGAAGACATCATCATTTGGGAAACGGAATCGAACGTCCACCATATCCAAATCCACAACCTTTTTCGAGGGTTTATTCGGAATGGAGTGGCAGTAAGATATTCCTAGTCTGATAAGTTCCATTCCAACCAGGATCAATTACTTCAGTTCGATTCGTGTTAAAACAAGATTTTACAAGTTCAACTGCAGTTATGGTGGAATCACTTGAGTTCAAAATAGTACAAGTATGTGCTGTCATAATTAACTCGAGGAATCTGTATGAGAAACACACATGGTTCCATCCTTGTTAATATACGTTTTCCACATCTTTCCTGCATATAGTTGCCCATTTTAAATACTCATTAAAAATCATACCAGTTCACTTCCTTTTGAATAATATAGCCATGTCTAACACCTCATCCAACAGACAGGCTGAAACTAGTTAGCCTCTTACCTGAGAAACACTGAACAAGCTAGATTTCTTATCATTTGTAATAGTCATACAATGTATTTATTATTCATACATTTAAATACCTTTTCCTAGTTTAATTGGATTGCGTTTTAGCTGAAATAATTTACCGTTTTGAACGAAAAACCGTGACTTGCTCAAATGCAGTATCCAACATTTGATAAGATACTGTTGCTTAGACACTGCAGATCAGTGAGTGAGGCCACCAACAACCCAACCCTCGAACCGAAACAACATTTTTGTTACAGGACATTTTGAAAAGAATAACCTCACCAGGTCGCAGATTCCATTGTGAATGGAAGCAAAACAAATCAGAATTGCATTTGAAAAGTGGAAAGAAAGGAATTCACTTTCAGTCTTGGGTTAACCAAAAAATTCCGTTGGAATGAAACCGAGAACAGAACCAGCAGAATAGCGTTAAAGGACAATGAGGGAATGCCCAAGCAAGCAAGAATAATTGGTCGTGGGCGGGGGAAAGGAGATCCGAAATTTGGCCACTGTCCAGTACGCACGCAATGGACTACGTGAGCATGAAGATTGGTTTGCCTGTGTTTGTTCCTCGTTCAGAGAGGGGATGAAAAATGTGACTCAGTGTCTTACACCCAATGCATTCTCATTCCAATCGAATTGGCAATCGTATTTGAAGGACTTCCTTTCCATAATACGCCAAAACAGTCCACGTAGGTACTTGTATTTCGGCTCTTCTTCAAACGCCAAATTACGACAATAGTTAAGATATTTGGCAAATTCCTCGGGCAAACCTTGACATAAAGTCTCTGTACGCATGCTTAACTTCGTTTTGTAAATCTTTCGGAATTTTTCCCGTTTACTGTCAGCCTGGAGACCTTGCCAGGGTAAACTGCCTCGAATGAAATAGAGGAAAACATAGCCCAATGATTCCAAATCATCCCGGCGAGACTGTTCGTAACCAGCATGTGCATTGATGCTGCAATACCGAGCCGTACCAGTTAGATTGCGAAAATCTCGAAAAGCACAGTGTTCTTTCGTTTTCGGATCCATGTAGTATTTAGATAAACCGAAATCGATCACATAAACCGTGTTAAAATTGGGACCCACACCCATGACAAAGTTGTCCGGTTTAATATCTCTGTGAATGAGACAATGCCGATGCAAAGTCTCGATACGTTTCAGCATTTGGTCGGCCAACATTGCGACCGTTTTAAGTGAGAATTTACAATCACAGTACACATGTAGATCTTCCAAACTGGGTCCCAAATATTCCATTACAAGTGCTGTGTAAAGATTTTGCACGCCATCTCGACCGAACCAGTAGATTTTCGTGATTCCCGGATTATTGCTTAGCGTGCGTAGTAGGTGAAATTCGGTCTGTAATTGTACTGGTACGCCGGATTTGTAAACTTCCAATTTGACTGCAGCTTCTTCGTTGGTCCGACGGTGAGTGGCCAGAAAAATTTCACCAAACGATCCCGCACCTATGCGTTTGATTAGTTTCCATTCTTTATTGATGACAAACTCGGATGAGCTGTCATAAGATATATCGTTACTTTCAGCCAATGATTTGCTGGATTTCATTTTGTCTCATCGCGAGTAAGAATTTAATTCGGGCCAAAGAATAGCTGGTTTAGTTTCCAAAAGGGAGTGACAAATGAAAAGAAATGATCTAGTGGTTTGGCTCACACTTATGAATGGTTGCCCTACAGCCACTTGCTGCGTCAGATGACCTTCACCTTTTCGAACAGCCATGAAGAAGAAAATCGATAGGGACTGCAAAGAGTTAGTTGGATAAGTGGTTCCTCGAATGATCACTGTGACGGGTGAATCACCGGGCAACGCTTAGGTCATGAGCAAAACTCCCTTCTTCGAGATAATGAGTTGAGAGGTAAAAACTCACATACTTAGGTATCTAAAATTTACACTGACATCAGGAATCTGTGCGTTCAGGTCTATGTTCTACGCACAGTTGTCCCACCAGACAACCTATCGGCTTGCCAAAACATTGTTTTATTTATTTACTGCAGGTGGTTTCAATTTTTGTCCAGATAAATGATCTGCACCTTGAAAAAAAGGTTCAATTCTCGAGGTGAGACGGTGGCACAGTTAAATTGAGTACACTAAATTTACTCACACCCATTTTCATTGAAATTCAAGCATAGATACTCGCGCAATTCAAACCATTCAAATGCAATACGATGCTTGAAACTCGTCAAGCTATGGTTTCATCACTAGAGCATCGTATATTTAGTCGCTGCGCAGACTGTCAAACAAACACACCAATACGGTGCGTCGTCATAAGCCGATGGGTCATCTAAAATGAAATCATGTGGGTAGCTCTTGAGTTTGGGAAAAAGGAAACCGATAAAATGAGAAAATGAGCTTTTTAAATTAAAATCTGAAAACTGAAAACACGACGCATCGTCGGACTCCACACCGACTGAAAGTCATCTGATTGGGCAACAGCATTTAGATCTCAACAGTTTGACTCAATAGGCAGTAGACTTTGATGGTCACATTCTTCTACTCTTAGTTGATAATAAACAGTGTTCGTTGTTGCGCCAGGTTCGATGAAACGCCGTTAAATTCCACTAGGAAAACAACCCACCCTAAGAATTAGACGATCTGCCAAGTGTTGTGAACGGACTGTTGCTGAGACTGCCATCGCACCACCAAATTCCGAGCCGAAGAATAGAAAACAATCAAAATGGCACAGGACAGTATATTAGAGAAGTGTCTTCCGTTTTGTGTCGTCCTTACGCGTTAGCATTCGTCCTTTTTTTATTGCGTCCGGTGCGTTCTGAACGTTGGATATCAATTGACCAATCAGAGTCGTCGAACCACCCGGTTGATTACGCTGTCTGACTAATCAGAAACGTCGTACCGTCCGTGGTGAAATACAGTGATCGATCATTTCGGGCCGAGGCTCATCCAGCTGCGGCTTTTTTCTTTTGGCTCTTCTCGCCAAACTTTTTCGACCGGATTTTTTTGGAATTTAACCTTCCCCCTTTTGTATGAGCAGTGTAAGACTTCCGTCCTGGATCAACTTGAAATGGCGTAACCTGCTTTCTAATACGATCGGTCCGCCGTCTTGGCTACATTGTAGCGTCACTGACTGTCGGCTTGGGTGGAATGTCAGCTATGGATGGGGATGCCTTCAAATCAAAAGTTTCCAGTAGCAGGTCGAAGTTTAGTGAGCTCCCTCGATTTATAGGAACAGGACGCTGTGTTCGACGCAGTTGGTTGATGTGCCGCCTCCAAAACTCATGATGATTCTCCTCGGTATGAAACGATGGACTTCGTCTGTTTATCCTGGGTCGGTTAGAGCAGTTGATCCAGGGTGCACGTTACTTGGATGGCTTGAAATCCATTTTCCTTTCTTAGTGGAGAATGTTAACACTTGACCAAAGGCCCCGGTGTAAAACGCAAAGTAAACACTTTTGAGCTGCCATTGAATCCTTATTTATTCATTGACTGTTTATCTAACCCATTAGACTATACTTTATTCACGGTCACCCATTGTGACTGGATTCTTCAAGGGAATTAATTATTATGCGCAGTTATTTTTTATGTGGGAACACGAATTTAGAGGCGAAGAATTTTTTCATTGATTCATCTTCTGGTCTTTACAGATCAAATAGGAAAATGGCATTTTGAACGGGGATAGTCATCCAGGCATTCAAAATTCACGATGATTGGTTGAAAGGGAGAGGAGTGGGGTGAGGGTGGTGCGACGTGTTTCACACCCCTAGATCGCCACAACACTGCAATCAAACTGTGATGCTTTTTGTCCTCACGCTGGTGGGGGAAAACTCCGCCACGAGAAGGCAATGAGTAGGACTTCCTCAGCAGAGGCTTTTCGAGACGAATGGTAGTATGGGAGCATTTCGAGAGGTGCAAGGGAGGGGTGACCAGCCGCACCCCTAGACATCCACCCCCGACCATACCGAGGATTTCAGAGGCTATAATTTCAAGAATTTTAATCAACACCCAAGATAACTTTTGAAAATTCGTAGAAATGACAATACCATTCACAGAGCGAAACCCGATCTGAATCGCAAAAGTTTAGTGACACTGACAGCACACTCTTCTCATCTGCTATATACCCAACATTCATTTGGTAGTTTCCTCCTTCAAGTATGCGAAATTTACGTCGTTTGCTTCGTTTCGTCATTCTATATTTTCACCTCTCACAACCGTGAGCATTCAATAAATGAAACCTACCTTCGGGGCTGTAAGTCTTCTAACATCTAAACTGTACGCGCCGGATCTCTACAAGACTCCTGAAAATTTATTCATTCATGTTTCTGAATGATTTCAGCGCAAGTTCAGCCATGTCCTGAATGCGTTTTCTACATCCAATGTGTAAACTGCGTTGAACCAACTCCTAACCACGCCGTAGTTGGAAAATGAAGAGAAAGCAGAACTTTTTCCTTCGGGGCATCTTTATCCCACCTAACGGACGAATCTATTTTGAACTGTCGCCACACATACAGATGATTAGGTTAGGATTTCCCGACTTGAGGCATTTATTGTTCCGCGGCAACATCAGCTTGTCTGTGAGGAGTCGAAGGTATGCTGGAGCAGTGGCTACCGCTATGCAGAGATCTGACCGCTTCGAGAATAGAATAAGGATAATATCCGTTCTGGAATATCACTGACTGAATTTGAAGTGGTGACCGGATGAGTATCACTGAAGTAACGCACAGCGTTTCAGGTCGAGGTCACACTGTAATTAGTGCCCGACATCCAATATCTAACAAAAACTGGGGTATTTTACGCAGATAGATCTCCTAGGCGTGCGATATTGGCCGAGGTAGATGGTGAGTGAAAGGTCGAGGGTGGCCAAAATGAAGCATGCGCTTGGGAGATTCACCCATCACCATATGGGACGTAAAACGAATGGCATTCAGCTGTGATGTTTGTAACGAATTCAAATGAAGACTGCAAAATACCTACGGGATATACGACCGAAGGGACTTTCCTTTTCAACACGGATCTTAAGAGTACCCTACTATTGACCTCAATCAATAAACATCTACTACCAATGCCCGATGTTCCCGAACACAAATACAACTCCTACTATCGTTGACAGGTTTGGCCAGTTATACTTCTTATTTCCCACTGCTGTCATATATCTACTCAAAAAGCGTGATTCGTCTATTGTGTCTTGAAATCAACCGTCGTTCTTCCGAGTTGGTGAAGCAATAGGGTCTTATCTGTCCATACGTTTTACCATTCTCCATATTGTATATGCGTACAACGGTAGGGAATGTACGTTTCAGTTTGTACAACCATTAACCATGCACTTTCGTGCGCCGGCTTTGGCTGCCCATTCGCATGAAGAATAGGAGAGGACAGGAAAGTTGAAAGTAGAGTCGAAAAGAAAATTTCAGTGGTCTAGGGTTACAAAGAAATTGAGATGTAAGAACGCCACTGTTTACGACCCCCAACCATATCGCTCAGTGTCTGTAGCCATTGATTACAGTGGTCCCGAGGTCCCCATCCAGGGAGCCTAACAGAACCTGCGTGACCCAGTCCCTGGTCAGGGTTTTCATACCCTCGTGCCAGGTCTTAGCTTGACCACCCTTGGCGTTTTCCCACCTACTACCTCCTTCGGCGAACATCGCTCGCCGTGGCAACCTATCTGGGGACATGCGCAGCACATGTCCCAACCAACGTAATCTATGGAGGTCGACCACTTACTCCAGTGGGCGATCGCGGCTAGGTACAACAAATATTATTGCCGCCTGTCGTGTTTTTATAGCCCATTATTAGGTAATTCAGCAAAAAAATGAACGATTACCGTTCCATATCTCCACTTAATGTGAACTCCGTTTTAGAGAACCGGGTACTTAACAAACCGAGGATAAAAAGCCGATTACAAAACTACCGTTGCACGCGTCGACAATATGGAGAACGGTGTATAGGAGTGCTTTGGGTGCGCAGTTACGTGAAAAACACGAAATTCCATTTCTTCTGTCATACAGTCCCGTTTTAGCCCACTGCAAGAGGCGTTCGGTAAATTCACACACGCAAGCGTCCATGGTACTTTGTTTGGATTATTATTTAGCACCTTAAAAACTAGTTCATTGAAAACGCTTAGGCCATACGAGATGCGTCGAAGGTTTGAAGATAAGCGGGCATGGTTTAAACCATCTCCATTGAATAGAGGGGGGGGGTAGCAGTTGGTACCATTACGATATTCAAATGAGTAGCATACGATCACTACATCATCTTATTTCTTAACCACGCTTTGCAACATCAACATTTGTAGAAAATAAAACGTTCCAACATTCGTTGACCTCAGAATATTCCGATACTTTAATCTGAATCGAACAGTGGTGGTGGTGACGCAGTGAATTAGTCGCTGCCACCAGCGTTGGACCCTATGGTCCGAGGTTCGAATCCCGCCACTACGACCCAACTTTGGTAATAG